TTTTTTTGTGGTACTGGGGTTTGAACTCAGGGCCTACATCTTGAGCCACTTTTTTGTGTTGGGTTTTTTGAGATAGGATCTTCCAAACTATTTGCCCAGGACTGGCTTTGAACAGTGATACTCCTGATCTGCTTCCTGAGTAGCTAGGGTTACAGGTGTAAGCTGTTGGCACCTGGCTTTTTGCTCCCTTGGACACCCTACCCATTAGTCCTCTCTCCCCACCGTAAGATGGGGACGGACCTCTAGCCACTGAGGGTGGGCTTTCAGTCTCTCCGACCCTTCTCTTCCCCAAGGGCAGGGCAATTCCAGCTCAGGCTCCCCTGCCCAATTGGAGCTTCCTTCCTCAGGCCCTTCCTGCGCACCTCAGGGCGCACAGGCTGGGCCCCGTAGTCCAGCAGTGCAGCAAAGAGGACTTCTGGCTCCCAGTTGGGGGCATCCTGGACCGCCTGCAACGCGCAGTCCATGGGTGTGTGGCCTGCCCCGTTGGGGACTCCAGCGTAGGCTCCGTGGCGCAGCAGCAGCTCGGCCAGGCCACCGCAGCCATTGGCACAGGCGTTGTGCAATGGTGTGTGGCGCTTGCGCCCAGCAGCCTTGGGATCAGCCCCAGCCTCCAAGAGCCGGCGCGCTGCCGCCTCGTGCTGCCTGCTAGGGCCCGGGCCCTCTGCTCCCGCACATGCTGCATTCAGCGCCGTCTCGCCCTGGCTGGTGCGCAGACCCACGTTGGCGCCATAGTCCAGGTAGAGAGCCACGTGCTGCTCCAGGCCGCGTGCAGCAGCCACATGCAGGGGTGTCACCTCACTCTCCTGCGCCGCCAGGTTCACCACAGCTACGGCCTCCAGCAGCAACCTGGCACACCTAGGGACAAGGTGCAACGCCATGATCCTGATGGCCCTGCCGCCTCACTCCTTCATTCCCACCCCTTTGCCTTGAGGTCTAGTGTTCACCTCACAGAGGCCCTGTGGCAGACACCATACTGGAGCGTCCTTCGAAGCTACCAGAAGCAACTTCAGTTTTCAGACCAGAACAATCTTATGCAGCAGACAAAAACACACAGCACATTAATGACCCCTAGAAGTCATACTCTCTGCCTTAGACAGTCCTTCTGAGAGCCTGCCTAACTCCCCACTGGGGGGAGGAGAGGTGCTGGGGATGGAACCCAGGTCCTCAGGAATATTAGGCAAGTACTTCATCACTGAACACTGAGCCACACTCCAGCCACTGACTTCCAGTTGGAATAGGACCTGAAGCCTGAGCTTGAATCATTTCATAGCAGATTTTGAAAACCCACTCTTAAGTGTACTATGAAGCATAGGAAATTAAAGCACATGTGCCCTCTGCCCCCCAAACAAAGTTCTGTTAATCCCTGCTCCCAAGCTTGAAGACCATTCTAAACAAGCCATGTTCCTTCAGACAAAAGACAGCACTTGGGGCCTTCCTGCTCCACTTTCCCCTTGAGAAAACAAGAACAGCCAAAGGGAAAAACGTAGAGAGCCCACATTTCACAGTCTCCCAAGTTCCTGGAAAAATAGGCCAACACATTATTGCAGCAAATATGCATCATTACCTACTGTGGGGTAGAAAAACATACAATGAGCTATAATGATGAAATAAACTAGCAATAATTTATAATTAAAAAGAATGGCAGCTGCTGGAAAGTCAGGAGCAGACCCATCAACCCCAATGAAACCCTGATAACCAGGGTTTCTCCAAATGGCCAGAATGCCAGCTCACAGGTCCTATAGGTGCTTTGCTGAGTGGCCAAGAATTGAGTGCCAGCTTCTTCCACAAACTGCTGGATTTTATTTTCTTGATAAATTCTAATGGGCAAACTTTTGTTTCTAAATACTAAATTTCAGTAATACTTAAAACTTTTCAGTAGTGCTCCTGTAAATGGCCATTCTCACTTATTTAAAAGGATGAAGTCTGTGGGAAGATTCTTATGCTCAGTCACCAGAAGATCAGAAATGCTCATAGGAACCCAAGAAAGGCCTTGGCAAATTTGAATCACTTCTGGATGGGGGAGGGAAAGAATTTGGATCACCTTGTGGGGAGGGTGTCCATCATTGGTCTAGATCTAATGGGGCGAGGTCCCCAGCATGTGGGCTGAAGAGTGTCTTGAATCATTAGATCTGCCAGGCAGATCTGTTGTTTTGACTTGTAAAAGTGCAAATACCATCACAAAGGGGGGAGATATAAGAAACTGTTGATGTTACAAAAATGGAAGGGGAAGGGGAGCCAGGCGTGGTGCAATCTCAGTACTTGGGAGGCTGAGGCCAAAGGATCATGTTAGAGACTAGCTTGGGCTACATAGCAAGACCTTGTCTCAAACAAACAAAAAAAAAGGAGGGGGGAATATGCTGAGGTTGGGAAATGTGGTTAAACTTTTTTTTAAATGGTACTGGTATTTGAACTCAGGGCCTCATGCTTGCTAGGGAGGTGCTCTAGCACTTAAGCCATTCCACCAGCCCTTTTTTATGTTGGGTATTTTTTAGATAGGGTCTTGGGAACTATTTGCCTGGGCTAGCCTTGAACCGTGATCCTCCTGATCTCTGCCTCCTGAGTAGCCACTGGCACTCAGTGACATGACTAAATCTTTCTTGATGTCCACCTCAAAACAACTAGGAATTTGGCTACAGAGGACTCCCAGAGAACTGGAGACTGCAATTAGAATAGGGTTTTCCTGGGGCTGTGGATGTAGCTCAGTGGTAAAGTGCTTGTGTAGCAAACATGAGGCCCTGAGTTCAGTTCCCAGCACTGCAAAACAAACAAATCCCCTAAAAAGGGGGGGAGCGGCTTTCCCAAAAAACACATGGCCTAGCACACGTGGCCTTGAACAAGTAAGTCACTGAACTTTTCTGAACGTCATTTCTCATCCATGGAATGATACCTGTCTCTACATATGAAGATGTATGTGAGGTGCTTCAGGGACCACAAAGCTGTATATGGAGGTCAAGTTCTTTTTTCTGGGTGTGTGAACTGTATGCTGGATGGATGGGGACACATACACACATGCACGCAAGCACACACACACCCTCCTCCAATTCCAGCCTGTGGGTACCTACTGCAAGGACTCAGGAGCTGTGCAGAGGTGCAAGGGGGTCACGCCCTCCTCTGACAGCACATTAGTCTTGGCACCAAAGGTGAGCAGCAGTTGCACACAGTCAAATTGGGCGTGGGCACAGGCCTCATGCAAGGCAGCACGACCCCCTACACGGGCATCCAGCTCAGCCCCCTGCAGAATCAGGTGGCGGGCGCAGTCTGTGTAACCTCTGGCTGCAGCAATGGTGAGAGGTACCGTCTGCTTGGTCTTGGGGGTCAGTACCCAGAATCCTGAGGAGAATAGGAAGTGTTGGAGGACTGTGTGTCCAACTGGAGGGAGGCAGGGCAGGGATGCAGATGCTGGTGCTGGCTTTCCCTTTGCATGGCTTCCTGAGCAGAGCACAAACACTGCCAGGCTGTACCCATGGAAAGGGGCTCACTCAAGTCCTGAGTTGGGGGCATTTTTAGAATAGTTTGGGCCTTTTAGAATAGTTTGTCAATTTGTAACAAAACCTGGTATTTTTTCCCAGAATCAGGAGGGGGAAAAAACATGTTGTGTCATAAAAAAAAAAATTAAAATGCTCTATAAAACCACAAGGACTAACTGAGCAGGGCGCATCGCGTTAGGGAAAGCTCAGGGTCTTTGAGTACCTAATGGAGTCAAAAGCTCTTTCTGGCATTGATGTGGAAAGGGGGTTTTGTCTGGAGCTGAGTTTGCAAAGGGCAAAAGAGCAGAACTGAATTCTAGGATATTCCTGAGGCAAGATGATTGGGTGGAAGCTGGAAGGGGTGGGGTGGATAAGAGATGAGGAAAGAAAGAATGAGAAGAGGTGTTCATCACGTGGATGGTGTTGAATCTTAATGACAGAAATAGTCAAGGACTTGTTTAAAGGACAGAGATGCCTAATATCGAGTTGTTTGCATGACAGTGAAGTCAATCCCTAGTTTCTCTACATGTTGGGTAAAGCATGTTTTGGTTTTTAGGACTGAAATTGAGCCAAGTTCCACTTTGAGGATGAAGAGCAAAACCAGAATGCCCTGGGTTGGGTGGGGTCAGTCTAACTGCTGCAACCAAACAGAATTTGGAGCCTGTAGTGACTGTGCCTAAAATCAATCTCCTGTCAATCTTCAGAGCAGTCTCAGTTGAGGTGTTTACTTGATGTGGACAAACCTACTAGTCAGAATAAATCCTAGAGAAATCATTTTGCTATTTAAAATACTTAACGGGGCTGAGACTGTAGCTTAGTGGTAAAGTGCTAGTCTAGCATGTGGGAGGCCCTGGGTTCCATCCCCACTATGGCAAAATAAATAAATAAAATAGTTTTAAAAAAACAAAGAAAAAAGGAATTCATTCTATTAGGGAGGATAGTTATATAAATCCTGGCACATATATATGTTTCATTTAAGTATTTTGTAGATTTATGATTATTGACATGAAAAGATGTTACATTAAAAAAATCAGGTTCAGCTAGGCATCATCACAAAAAAAAAAGGGCTGGTGGAATATCTCAAGGTGTAGGTCCTGAGTTCAAACCTCAGTACCACACACAAAAATAAAAAATCAGGTTCGAGCCGGGCACTGGTGGCTCCCGCCTGTAATCCTAGCTACTTAGAAGGCAGAGAGATCAGGAGGATCTCAGTTTGAAGCCAGCCCTTGGCAAATAGTTCATGAGACCTTATCTTGAAAAAGGCACCACAAAAAAGGCCAGGAGCACTAAAAGCACCTGCCTAGCAAGCATGAGGCCCTGAGTTCAATCTCTAGTACTGCAAAAAAAAAAACAAAAACAAACAAACATGGCGGTGCATATTTGTAATCCCAGCACTGAGGCAGGAGGATCACAAGTTTAAGGCCAGCCTATGCTATAGAACAAGACTATCTCAAAGCAAAATAAAACAAGAAAAAGTGCATGTGAGCTGGGTGTAGCTCAGTGTTAGAAGGTTTGCTCATAAGCATGTGAGAAGTCCTGGGTTCAATCCCAACACCAAAAATAAAAATAACATACAGAATTCTATTCTATGAACAAAAAATAGTCATGTGTGGGCACATATGCAGAGAAAGCAAAAATTATGTCAGAATATACTATTACTATATAATGCATCTAGTATGTGCAATTATTTTTCAACTAAAAATAAAATTTACAATATATATATATTAAAAGATTATAACTTAATTCTGAAAAAACATACAAGCCACTAACTGAGTTTAAGAGGGAGCTAGGATGGGCAGCGTCAAGGATTGGCCTAGTCTAGGGTCTGCAGGAGAGAGATGGGGCCTGGACTCTCCCTCTCTCTCCTCACTCCCATCCCTCTTGGCGCTTTCCCCCTCTTCTGCCCTCTTTACTGGTGCTCCCTTCCTTACCTTGTTCTGCTGACCAAGCCAGCTGGTTGCTCACGGTCTCCACAATCATGTTGGTGGCCTCTTCATCTTGGAACAGGGTTTGGACCTGCTGCAGGTCACCGGAGAACAGGGCATTGTGGACAGCTGGGTCTCGGCAGGACCTTCGAGGCCTCGTGAGTCGGGCAGTGGGACTTGAGAAACACCTGTGGCTGCGGCACTGCTGGGCAGCAGCCCGCCGGCGGTCCTCCCATTCCAGCCACTCCCGCTGCAGGCGGAGAGCGCGCAGAGTGGAGGAGGTGAATGGAAATGTCTCCCCTGCCATGGCAAGGGGCCCAGGGGTCTGGGCAGTGGCACCTAGGCAAAGCCTTGCTCCTTGCCGACTAGCACCCCTGCTTCTGGCGATCCACCCTGCCCCCTCTACTGTGAGCAGGAGAAAAGAGCAGCTGAGGCTATAAATAGGCCCTTCACTGGCCTGGTAAGCAGTTTGCCTAGAGTCATGATCCTGATGCAGAGGTGTTGCTGGGCCAGCCCATTGCCCCTGCTGATAGCCTCTGATTGGCCAGCAGGCCTTTGGCTGTGGCCACACCTGGGCCCCACACACTCTCCCAATTCTCTGGAGTGAACCTCTTGGGTTGGCAAGGTCTGAGACAAGTGAAGTAGCCATGGTATGGGGCAGGGCAAGCAGGAAGACCAAGGTCCTCTAGCCTCTGTGATGTCTGGAGGGCCTGAGCCCAAGCTGGCTCACCTGGAGGAGAGAGGGTAGATCTCAGCACAGAAAGTAAGGGGAGGTCCAGACAGATACTGAGAAGGCCAACGGCTCTTCTAGCATTCATAGAATAGCAGTTGCTGCATGTATGCACTTACCTTTACAGTATTTAAGTCACTTTCATATCCATTTTCTCTTGGAAAACCAGGTAAACAACACAGTAATACAAAACAGGTTTGGACAGTAAATGACATGGTCAGGCTAATTATCCCAGTTAAATGCCTGAGATGGGTGGTCTTATCTGTTTTATAGATGAATTTATGGCTTAACAAGGTAAAACTACTGGTTCAAGGTCACAGCTCATGAGGTGTGGAGCCAGGATCCCTATGGGCCTGACTCCCAAGAGTGTGCACTTTGGCTCAAGCTGCCCTGGCCACATGGGTGAAGACAGTTGTGAACTTCTTTCCACACCCCAAGCAAAACAGCATGGTCTCCACAAACTGTCCTCAATGATTATGGATTTTTCTTCCTTGCTCCTGTGAGACTCACATGACTGCCTGAGAAGGGCCAAGGGGTTGACCTTGAAATCCTAGGGACTGGATCAAAGAGATCTTCAAGCCAAAGCCCATTCGCCCTTAGGAGGAAGCTGCTCTTCCTCCAGGAGCCTCTAGGGGGAGGAATGAGGCCGTGAAACATGTGCCTGCCACATTGGGGAAGGAGAGGATGAAGGAATACCAGCTACTGCCTCCCAGCAAGCAGGTTGCAGGCCTGTGGCTGGTGTCTTTGAAGCAATGCAGTGTGGGTTCCTCCTGGCTCTTCTGCACTTCCTTCTTATCCTGGCCCAGGAGATGTGGCCCTGCAGCTCTGGCTCCCTTTCTCGAATTCTCAGGCCCCTCCAGTTCAGTGCCTTCGACCTGGATCAACCAAGCCTCTGACCTGGTGTTCCTTCCTCTGGCCACACCCCCTCTGTTCCTTTGCCAAACAGATCTGTCTAAAAGGATTCCTTCCCTTGCTTAAAATGTCTGATTGATTTCCTGCACTTGCCCTCTCCAGTTAAGCTCCAGTTCCTTGGCCTGGCCCCATATCATGAAGCATGCTCATCACGGCCCCTCACCCTTTCCAGTCATTCCCTCTAATGCTGTTCTAACGACTTGGAATTCCCTACTCATTCCTCAAGTCCACCTCAAAAGTCACCTGCTCTGGGGAGATGTCTCTGCAGCAACCCCAGATGCCCTGCTGTACAGTTCCAGCTAGTCCCCAATCTGTGATGCTAAAGGCTGTCAGGTGGGCTCTGCAAAGCACCCATCCTGTGCCATAGACATCGCCTTGCTGGACATGGGCTCCAGAGCAGGCCCTGGCACAGTTGGTCTTGACATGGCATTTAGGAGCACTTGGCTCATGGCAGGCTGGCCTCTTATGTGTAGTGCATTGAATGAAGGTCTCTATTCTTTGCCAGAGCAAACATTCATCTGCCCGCCCAAGTGGGTGGCAGCAGCTTGGGCCTTTTCCGGCACTGCCCTTACCCTCTGTTCACTCACTCTCTGCCTGGCCCCAACTTCTTGGTGGCATTCCAGGGGTGGGGGGGACCCCAGAGGAGGAATGAGATCATGTGCAGCAAGGGTTTGGAGCTCCTCAGAGAAAGGCACCTCTATGGATGCAGCTATGATTAACCCTATTGGAACCCATTCTTTGTTTTAATTGCCCCACCAACAGCTTGGCTGAGCACCCACAGCTAGGTTCCCAGGGTTGGGAGTCTGGCAAGGCTGGGTGGGGCCAAGAGGGGCAAGGTGGTAGGTGTACCTTTATTCCCTAAGGCACCCAATAGTCACAGCCCAACCTCTCCCTGCCTTGTCACACAAGCCTTAAGGTGTAGCTTCCTGAGGGCAGAAAAAGGCAGCCTTTATTTCAACTTGCCCATGAGCCCACAGGAGCCCAAAAGTTGTACTGAAGGGAACAGTGCCCAGCCTGCCTTCTGTGGGAGCTCAGAGCCTGTGGGGCAATGAAGCACCCAAGAAACCCAGACATGAAGCTGTTTGGGATCAGTGAAGACTGGGCATTGGAGAACAGGCCTCAGGGGCATCCAGAGTGGGGAAGAACACTGCAGACAAGGACCTAGAGTCGTTTAGCTGCAGGACCACCATGTGTAGATGGGCCCTGGCCCAGATCTAAGCCACAGAGGCAGAGCTGGGGCATTAGCATCAGGTGGAAGAAGTACATGATATACTCAGGTATGAACACTGAACAAGAACATGAAGGGGCAAGGGGTTGGGGAGTTAGCTCTTTCCTGCCCTAGCCTACAAGCACAAAAGCCTTCTGGAGCAGGGCCCTCTGCAACCAACAGCCAACTGAACACAGAGTTCTCCAGGCACTTGTTCACTTCACCCTTAAGACAAGGATCCATGGGGTCAGCCTCTCTACAGGAAAAGGGAGATTAGTGCCCCCTCCCAGAGCAGTGCCAGACCCATGCCCAGGGGAGGCTCCTGGTTCCCAGCTGCTTAGAGAAGGCTGAGGCAGGGGAGGCTGGCAGTCAAACTGGGCTCGAGCTTGATTCCTCTCACCTATGAGCTGGGAGAGTTTTCCTTTTTGCCCTGCATTCTGGAAAAGAAAATAAGGTTGGCAACTTGAATAATTAGACCTTTTATGCCCCACACATGCTTTTGTCCAACACTGGTCTGAAAGGTGATACAGCAATGAAGAGTTACTTGGCAGGCTGGCAGAGTGGCTCAAGCGGTAGAGCACCTGCCTAGCAAATATGAGGCCCTGAGTTCAACTCCCAGTACCATAAAAAATAAATTAATTTTTAAAAATGTGTTACTTGGCAACAAAATAAAGTAGTATTGGATATAAAATAAATACCTGAGCTCATATGATATCAATGAACAACTAAATAAAGGGACACAAGACAAATCTCCCTTGCAGAAGAATTCAAAATAATTTAGGTAGCTGGGTGCCAGTGGCTCACCTGGTCTAAGCATGAGAAAAACACCAGACAAATCCTAATAGAGGGGTAACCCATAGGACCTCTCAGAACTGTTGAGGTCATCAAAAAGCCTAAGAAGCTGCCATAGATAAGGGGCCTAAAGAGACATTAACTGTAATATGGGATCCTAGATGGGATTCTAAAATAGAGAAAAGATATGAGGGGAAACAGTAAATTTGAAAAGTATCTGGAATTTAGTAAATGATAGTGTATCAATATTGGTTCACTAATGTGATAACATGGAGCTGGGTATGGTATTCATTCCTGTAATCCCAGCACTCAGGAGGCAGAAGCAGGAGGAGCCTAAGTTCCAGACAACCTGGGCTATAGCAAGACCCCAATTCAAAAACAACAGGAGGTGTGGCTTAAGTGGTAGAGCACCTGCTTTGTGAGCTTAAAGCTCTGAGTTCAACCCACAGTCCCACCAAAAAATTCCCAAAAAACAGGGCTGGCAGAATAGCTCAAGTGGTAGAGTGCCTGCCTAGCCAAGTGCAAGCCCCTGAGTTCAAACCCAAGTACTGCCCCCAAAAAAGTCTTCCTTAGGACTGTGTGTGGTGGCACAAGCCTATAATCCCTACTACTTGGAAGGCAGAGGTAACAAGATTGAGGTTGGTTGCCAGCCCAAAGTTAGCTTGAGACCTTATCTGAAAAACAAACTAAAAGCAAAAAAAGGACTAGAGGCATGGCTCAAGAAAACCGAGTTCAATCTCCAGTATTGCAAAAAAAAGGATAAAGCTATCATGTTAATATATTAATTAATAGGAGAAACTGGATGTGGAATACATGGAAACTCTAGTATTTTTGCAATTCTGTAAATTTAAAACTGTTTAAGAGCTTGGCACCAGTGGCTCACACCTATGGGGGGAGGGCAGAGATCAGGAGGATCACAGTTTGAAGCCAGCCCAGGCATATAGTTTGTGAGACCCTATCTTGAAAAAACCCAACACAAAAAAGGGCTGGTGGAGTGGCTCAAGGTGTAGGTCCTGAATTCAAACTCCAGCACCACACAAAAAAAAAACAACAAAAAACCTGTTTAAGAGAAAAAGTACATAAAAGAGAAACAGACAAAGAGAACCAGAGTTGCATGGCTCTGCCCTAGCCTGTACCCTGCTTTGATAGGGCCAGCAAGACATGTGAGGGCAGAGTTGGAAGGAGGAGGAGCAGGTGAAACAAGAGCTGCTTTATTTCAGAACCAGGTACACAACAGCCTGTACCCCCAAGCCCACACCTGGGAACTGTGGGCACAGATCAGCTAAGGCCTCAGGTCACCATTGCTGTGGTGTAGCTTCTCTCAGTCCTTCAGCTATCTGGAGACTGGAGAGTAAAGGGACAAGGAAACTAGGCCCAATGTTCTCTAAAGTTAAGCTGAAGTGGGAGAGGGGCACACCTTTCCTTTTGGCAGGAGGAGAAGGAACGATGCACAAGAGGGCTATGAAGGACAGAAAGGTAAGAGAGCCAGTCTTGTGCTGAGTTTTAGAATGCCAATGCCTTAGGAAGTCACAGTAGTGCAGAATCAGGTGAAGTTGTTCTCAGGGAAAGCGTCTGTGGTGCTAGGGGCACCACAGAAGCCCTGAACCTTGTCTAGTCTCCAGTAGGGCTGGCCTTTTCTCTTTTGGATGTGACCAGTTCCACTCAGAGCTGTGCTTGAGACCGGAGAGGGCTGCTTTCTCATGGTGGGTGTCCTGCCTTGGGACAATCCAAACTGCTGGGCCCACAGAAAAAGTCCTCAGGGAGCTCACTCAGGAGTCCATCTAGGTCATCTGCAGAGGGAGATGGGGAAGGATAGCTTCAGTGACAAAATTAGAGTTCCACATGACTCACATCTAAAGCTCCTCCCCTTCAAGAGGGCCTAGGTCTGGCAGTATAGCCAGGACGGTGGCTTCCCACTGCACAGTAGTGCCCATCCTGGTGGGCTGAGTTTCCTTCTGCTCCCCACAAACACACACACAAAAAAAGGCAAAACATAGCTGGAATGATGGTGAAAGCCTATAATCCTAGCGTTTAGGAGGCTGAGGCAGAAGGATTGTTAAAAAAAAAAAAAAAGTGTATGGCAGGGGCTGGAGATAGAACTCAGTGGTAGAAAGTTTGCCTACCATGTACGGGCCCTGGGTTTGATCCCCAGCACCACAAAAGCAAATAAAAACAACAAACCTAGCAGGACATAATCCCTAGGCCATTATGGTAAGGAAGGGGATCCCCCCACCCCTGGGCCACAATTGTTCCTCTCCTACCCAGAGGCACAGTGTGAGCAGGAAGACTTCTGAGGGTGCCTCCTACAACCCTCTCATCGGATGGTGGGAGAAAGAGTCATCAGATGTGTTCAGAATTACACAGTTCATGCTCTGGGTTCTCAGCTGACAGTAGAGAAACCCCATAGTGCCTGAGCACTAACTGTACTTCTCAGATGTGGTGCTTATACCTAAGAACTTCGTAACAGAGCTGACCTCAGTAATCTCTATTGATATGCTTTTTGTTAACAATAGCAGCTAGTACTTACTGAGACTGAGTGCTTGCTCTGTGCTTCAACAGCCCTTTACAGGGCAGTTCATGGTGGTTTCTTTGATAAACCCCACTTTACCTGGAGAACAAGGTTTAATGAAGTGAAGCAACCTGCCCAAGGTGAGTGGACTCATGCTGCCAACTAGAAAAGTCCACTTCCTGGATAGGATCAGGAGGCCCTGGGAGAACTCAGTCTAGCCCCTAATTCTGGCAAGAGCACTCAATAAACACTGCTGCTGAAAGGAAGGAGAGAAGTTTGTTTGGGAGCATTCAACAATTTAAGTACCAGCACTATACTCAGGAAAGAAGGGCTGGAATTTGCTTACAGCAAAAAGTGGTTGCCCTGCACTAGCTACTCTATGACTGGCTAGAGAAACCCCATGGGAAATAAAGGGGAATGAGGAGTGGGCTAGAAAACTGAGAAACAGAGCAAGAATTTGTATTTAGTCTCCAGCCCTGTCTATGTACCACTAGCAGCTGCCTGCTCAACAGGTCTTTCCCTACTCTGGAGCTATAACATCAGCCCCCATACTCTAGAGCTAACTCCTCACTCTTGCTTCAAGACCACCAGCAACCTCTTCTGATGATGACTGGCCTTTGTCATCAAACTTACTTACAAGAGCAGAGTATAAGATTACAGACTATGGAAGACTCTAGCATAGGAGCTGATACCTTCATAGGACATAAATAAATGGCCTTGTGGTTTATCTGTTGGTATACTGTGGATTTGGTTATGTGAGACACCTACCCATAATCCTATGTCTTTGGGGCCAGATAGGGTTAATTTTTAGAATCAAAAGCTAAGGAAGTGACCCTGGAACTGTGCTGGCTTCAGCTATTGATAAGCCCTCCTGTTGCCTATATACAAGAGCTCTGCATTTGGGCTTCTCAGGGTTGTGTCCTGGTCCCCCAAACTAAATGGATATGTGATTCCTCAGCACTTTCTGGAGGGCTTCTGAACTTAAGCTAGAATGAGGAAATCTGCCTCCATGGTCTGGTCGTCAACCCACAGAAGACTCAAAAGCCTGACACACAGACAGCACCTGTCCACCCTGACAAGTAGCGCACAATGTTCCCTCCTGTGGCTGACCCCATATAGTCTCAAAATGGGGAGACATGTGGGTCACACTTTATGTGACTTGTTTCACACTGTTAACTAGTTTGTGGCCTGCAGCCTTTGCCAAATCAGACACTGTATCAATTTCTGTGAGATTATGTTAAGATCCAAAGACTCACAAGAAGGGCTGGAGGTGTGGCTCAAGTAATAGGGGGCCTGCTTTGCAAGTGTGAAGCCTTGAGTTCAAATCCCAGTCTCACCCCCAAAAAAATAGTAAAAAATAAAAAATAATATTAAAAGACTCACAGGAGGAGGAATAAGATGCAGTTAGGACCATGGCTGAGCTGCATCAGAGGAAATAGAGCCTCTCCTGATCTTAATAGGCTGACTACCTTACCTGCTTCTGAGAGTTCTTCCTCAGGGGACACCCCTGCCTCTGGGATCTGTGCAGTTCTGAGGTCTTCTGTGGGCTTTACAGCCATATCAGGCTGGAGGCTGCCATGGAAGCTTCCTGGATCCTGGGGACAGAGGATCTGGTTACCAATGCCCATGCTCCTGAAACCCCTCTGGATGGTACCAGCCGTATCCACACAACCTCCAAGAGATGGGTGGGGATTCAGGAAAGAGACATGATGGAGGAATATGGTGGGGGCCAGGGTCACCCAGGGAGGGAGGTGAAATACCAAACACTCAAAATAGCACATAATTCAAACAAAACAAGCCGGGCACCAGCCTAGCTATTTGAGAAGCTGAGATTGGAAGGATTGAGGTTCGAGGCCAGACAGGCAAACAGTTTCCAAGACCCCCATCTCCAAAAGAACTAGAGCAAAATGGACTAGAGGTGTTGCTCAAGTGGTAGAGTACCTGCTTTGCAAGCACTAAAAAACAAAACGAAAAACAGTTATCACAAATAAATAAAATAAAACCAGTAATTCAACTGTTAACTTTTTTTTTTTTTTGGATGTGGTACTAGAATTTGAACTCAGGGTCTACACCGTGAGCCACTCCACCAGCCCTTTTTTTGTGATGGGTTTTTTGAGATGGGGTCTTGCAAACTATTTGCCTGGGTTGGCTTCAAATTGCAATCCTCCTGCTCTTTTGTCTCCTGAGTAGCTAGGATTACAGGCGTGAGCCATCAGCACCCAGCAAAGAAATTTATTTTAAGCATGGGAAAGTTTTCACAGTATAGTAGTAAGTAGCATGTTTTTTTGGTGGGACTGGGGTTTGAACTCAGGGCTTCATGCTTACAAAGCAGTTGCTCTACAGCTTGAGCCATGCCTCCTACAGCTTGAGCCATGCCTCCAGTCCTATGATTAGCTTTAATTAGGGAATGAAAGAAGAAAGGGTGAGTTTCATTTTTTGCTTATTCTGTTATTTCAATGAGTATGAATGACCAGAAATTTAAAAGAAAAATGAAGACTATTTCTTAGAGGTAGGGTAATTTTAAGAGAATGTGGAGGGATTCAGGGGAAAGATAAGGAAATATAAGTGAAAAATTAGAGCTACAGATTCGAGTTGACTAGAGGTCATCAAGTCTAACATACTTGTTCTGCAGATGATGCAACAGCAGGGAAAGGGACAGGACTTGCCCAAGATCACAGTAGAAATTATCAGCAGAACTTGGACAAGACCTAGATCTCCTGTCCTCTGGGATCCCAAGTCAAACCTGGACTCTGCACTCTCACCCAGGAATGAAGCTGCCTGGAACCCCATCCTCACCTCCCAGAGACACCAAATGCTTGCCTAGTTTCCTAAGACAAGGGGTGTTCTCCTAGGGCACTGTGCAGTGGTTTCCACCTCATTGAGCAGAGGCAGAGGCCAGAAGGGAAGAGGCAGAGCAAGTGCTGGCTCACTTGACATATCATTTGTAACTTACTGCTCTCTGCAATGTCACCTGGAGCAAGTTTGACCTTCTGTTTGTCATTTCTGCCAGTCACATCCCCCTCCTCTGACGGGCCCTCACCCTGGTTAGTTCTCAAGTAACTCCTCCCCTCTCAGGTGTTCAAGCCTGCCATCAGACACAGGGATCACCAAGAAGCCAGCTGCTCCTGAAGGTACTGTTACTGAGCCATCTGGCAGGCGGCTGGACCAGGGACAGGAGGAGATAATCCTGTCCCCAAAGGTACTTCTTCACCTCAGGGCAACTGCCTCCTTCATACCTCTGCTCCCTTGGGTAGAAGAGAGGAAGAAATAAGAAGACCCAGCAGAAGAACTGCTCCATTAGGCCCCTTGATTCTGCCCATCTTACCTTGGGGAAAGGCTGAGAGGGCTTGAAGAAGTTCCCGTCCCTGGAATCTGGGCTGTAAATATGGACCAGGTTGTTGGGTGTCACATTGAGGTAGTGATTTCGGAGTGAAGGAGAAAACACTCCAATCTGGAGTTGAGGAAAGGGAAGGTCAGTGTCCTGATGGAGCACTGGGTGCTTCCAGGTGGCCACCTGGTACCTGCCTGCCTCTTCTTGGTATCCTCTGCACCAGAATCACACAAATAGCCCCTGCCCTGGCCTTGGTGCTAGAGTGGAACCACTTACCACCCAACCCTCCACCCCTATTTACACCTGAACAGCAGGAGCAGTTCAAGGGCCATAGGCCTGCTCTTGGCTCCAGCAAACCAGATCCTAGTAATGGTCTGGCCACTCCTTGCTTGGGCATTGGGAGGAAATGCAGCGAGCCAGGTAAAGACAGACAGTCAGTCCAGGGCATGCCCCCACTTGGAGCTCCCCTACCTGCTTCAGCAGCAGCACTGAGCCAGGCTTCAGCTCATTCTGGCGTGTCTCTAACAGCACCCTGTGCACGGTCCCCTGCATCTCTCCTGCAAACACCACATAGTGGTCAGTCTCAGGGTCCAGGGTAACAGCAACTGGTTTGAGCCCTGGCCAGGAAATGGCCTCAATTATCCCATCTGAAAATGGTGCAGATGACTTCTCTTCATCTTGACTTCCAAACTTGAGACATTTCCAGGACTCCTTACCTGTGGGGTCCTTAAAAACCACACTGGCATCCACTGTGCTCCGAGTCAGAGACTTGATCATCACTGCCATGTTGGGGACCTTGTTCCTGGGGAGCTGCTTCAGGGCTGCCTGCTTACAAAGAGAGGCATTCACTGAGCTAGCCATGGCCCACCTATAACTTCCCAGGCCCCTAAGTGTGCAAGGGCAACCAGGGGATGGCAATGCTGGTAGTTGGAAGGGTACATGTCATCTCCTACTTGGTAAGCCTAAAGCTGGCAGGTCCTTCATTTATCTACCCTGCCATCCCATATCACTCTATCATGGCAGGTCGACAACAGGCATGTGTTGGCACATGTACTAATATGTATCTGCATATGGCCTTGATCACTGGGGAGCTCTCTAGATAATAATGTGTTCCTCTCCCTCCCCCATTTCCATCCAGGGCCCAGAAGTGCAAAGGCGTGCCCAGAACCTACTCTCTCCTTCTTATGCTCATTACTGTGGGTGACAACGAAAAGGTAGGAAAGTGAAAGATACAACCCTCAGGACACGTCTGGGGTAAGAGGGAGCAGACAGCCCCTTCCTAAGGTAGAGTGGGGTAGAAGGTGGGAGAAAGGAGAAAAACAGTCTGTTGGGTCTCACCACTCAGAATCGTTACCTTCCGCAGCACCATGACAATGCTGTAGGTACAGAGAAAGCAGGTGGGGTCTCTCTCATCCAAGCCCAAAGTGGATTTCATAGTCAGCCAGGGCCCTTGCCCAAAATCCTCCTCCACCGACCTCTGGGAACTAGCAATGATCTGGCACCACAGAGCACAGGGGAGTCTATGTTAGTGGGTCTTCCTTGCAACAGAACCTTGACTAAGACAGACCAGAAGGGTGGGAGAGGAATGGTGAATTCCTAGGAAAAACTGGAGCTTGGTGGCTATAGTCTATCCCCTCAATTATCTTCAAGGCCAGAAAGTGGCTCAGGAAATCTTGCTACACATTTTTCGCTAAGCAGCTAGAGCCAAGGTACTTCTTCTTTTTGGTGGTACTGGGATTTGAACTCAGGGCCTCATGTTTGCTAGGCAAGTACTCTACCATTTGAGCTACTCCACCAGTCCTATTTTTCTTATTTTCTTTAAATAAGGTCCTGACTTTAATTACATTGAAGCAAAAAGTATCCATGCTTATCTCTGTTAACAGACTTGAAAAGTCTTAGGAGTAGGGATCCCCCACATATATTTACAGGCTTCCAGAGTGTCTTAGCCATTTCAAATTCTGTCATTTTATTTGGGTTAACTTTTAACTTTCTTATATTAACTATTAACCTTCTTATATTAATAACTGCTTTGAATCCAGATGCCTATTAACTACTTTGGATCTGGGGAGCTATAGCAAATAGAAGTCCTAGGGAGAATTAGAAGAGAAGTGGGTCTGAAGGTAGGGAGGTGGGAAGCTGTTCTCACCCACAGAAAGGGAACTCCCAGGAGTCAAGATGAAGGCAGATCTTCCCAGCTTAGTTCCCAGAAACCTGAGGAAGGGTTTCTGAGATACCATCTCATAATGCTTATTACATTATCCTCCCCTGGGGAAAGATGGTGCTAACTGGAACTTTATTTTTTAGATTGGAAAGAAGGCTGGACCCATGGCATTGGTTAATGCCTGGCTGGCATCAGGATGGGCCTCACTTAATGCCAGTAAAATTGCTGCCTTCCCCAGATGCCCTTTGGTATAGGTCTGGTAGCATTAACTGAGTCTTGACTCCTGAAATGACGGGATGCCGCCCCCCCTTCCTGGCCCCCAACTCTCAAATGATGATCAGGAATGAACATCTGCATGGAAGAAGTTACCTCTGTCCGGAATTTAGCCAGAGCACCATGAGTTGGAGTCTGGGGCATGGAAACCATGATCTCCTCTAGATTCTTCCCACTATGCTAAGAGGGGAGAGAGAAGGAGAAGGCGAGAGCAAACTCAGCAGCTGTTATTTACAAGTACAGCGTCCTGTCTGGGTTACATAATGAGTTCAGGAAACTATCAGGAACAATTAACACATATTACATCTCTCCTAACGCAGTCTCAGGAGCCTTGTTGGCAGCTCAAAAAAGACTTTGGGGATCGTTTTGGGAATGTAAGGAAGCTAGAGCTGGCCCAGAGCAAAGCCCAGGGCTGCCTGAAGGGGGCAGTGACCCAAATAGAGGAGACTTTTGCCAAGTCCCTTCCCAGGATCCTAACCCTCCCTTCCAGGAAGAACCAGTCCAGGAGGAACATAGACTGCCTCCTTGGATTTCTCTTAAAGTGCCAGGGAAAGGGAACTAGCAAGCCGATTGTTCCAGACACCCTTAAGAGGAGAGAAAGGGTACACACTATCATAACCAGACCACAGCCTCAGAGCCCAACTACCTGGGATTTGACAGATCCTGTCCTTCCACCACTGCTTAAACACAAACTCTTAGCAGGGCATCTCCTTTGCAGCCCCAGCCTCCTCATGTTGGACCCAAACACCAGCCACAGTAAACTCTTCCCTAGATCTTTGAAGAGCACCTGCTCTTAGGCCTCTGTCTTCCCCCTGCTGAACTGTACTCAACACAGCTCCCCTTTCTCCCACCTATGAACCTACTTACCTACCCAGAGCCATTCGGTAAGCCCAAGGCAGAGCTAGAGAATGACGCCTACTTACACGGTGCTCTGTGCTCTTTGTTCATCATGATTTGTTCACACCCATTTCTTCCAATACACATTAAGCAGCTTAGGACAGGCACTATTTGTCTTTAATCTTTGTGTTCTCAGTTCCAAGCAAATTGCCCAATATCTACTCCTTAGCAAATATGAATGTATCTTCCTACCCTAGTGCTAGTAAACAGTAGACACTCAACAAATACATGAAAATGAGGAAGTTCTCAGAGCCTTCAGGATCTTTTTCATGGGTGGATTTTCAAGCATTTCCCCCCCCCCCATTTTTTTCCTTTGCAATGCTGTGATTGAGCCCAGAGTCTCAAACCTGCTAGGCAAGTACTGTACCCCTACTCTTCTTTCAGTTCTTTTAAAGCTTTGCAGGACTGGCAGAGTGGCTCAAGCGGTACAGCACCTGTCTGGCAAGCATGAGGCCCTGATAATAAAAATAAATAAAGCTTTGCAAACCATCCCTTTCTTTACTTCCTTCCTGCCCTCCAGGAGGGAAGATATTCTAGGGCTGGACCATTGCTTCTCTCCCTTGGTCCCAGCATCCCTGAGAACCAGGTCACTCACCTGGTGAGGCAGGAGCCCTGCTGGGCCAGGGAAGCGGCGTGTTTTGGCTCGGGTGAAGAGGCGAGTGGGCTGCTCAGGTGTTCGGCTGGCAGCAGTGACCAGCTGCACCAGGTGGTTGGTGACTATGGGCGTTTGCAGAGCTGCCTGGGGAACCGGGGAGGAATGGAGACCTTTTGTGGTGCCAATAGGAGACTCAACAGAAGACATTGAAGCTCGGGATTGCAAAGGCCCCTGAGGAGATACTGCAGAGCTGGTCCTTGAGGGAGTAGAACAGTTGGAGTTGGGAGTTCGAGGTCCAGGAAAATGAGATTTGCCACTTAACCAGGCATTGGGAGACTGAAATGGCTGTCTGGGCAAACGATTTTGAGGGCTGCTCTGACTGGAGCCTCCAGCAGCTTGAAGAAGCTGGTGTGCTGGAACTGGGGGGCCCTTGATATAGACTTCCCAGTGGGGTTGCTGAGTGGGAACTGCTGAGGTAGTTGGGACAGGAAGGTTACCAGCAGCAACAGGTCTCAAGTAGGGCCGAGGAGTCCTGCAGCCAATAGGCTCCAGACGCTCACCCTGGACTGACATGACATCAGTTGTGCAGGTGGCAGGCCTGGGTCCCTTCAGGCAAGATTTACTCAGATCGGCTACCCGGGCCTTTTTAGCCAGTACTGGGTCCTCCTGCTGCTGCTGGGCTGGTGGGATATGTGTAGCCTCACTGTTAACTCCAAGTTCCTGTTCCATGCCAGTTCCCTCCAGTTCCATGTTTGCCAGGACTTCATCAAATTCATCTTGTTCAGGCCCCTCAAAGCCACCAATGCCCCACTGATGCCTCTCAAAGGTAAGTACATGGTGTGGGGCTGAGGATGGGAGTCCAGCTGGTTTCTGGAGCACTTCTGTCACCATCATTCTCCTCTGATTGCCAGTCCAGCTGCTGGAAGTCGAGACAGGCCTTAGGTGGGCTGTTCCTATGGAAGATGGATCCCTGATGGCTCTGGACCCGCTGAGGTTAGGGAGACAGGTTCCCAATGCTGGCAGGCTCAAAACCTCTGAAGGAGCAGGAGAGTGCAATGACTGTGCCTGCACAGTCTCCTGGAGCTTGGAAGAAACAGGTCTCAGGCGCCCAGCATTCACAGGCAGGGCACCAACAAACTGGTTCTCAGCATCCTCCACAGCAGATAAGAAATCCTACAAAGCAGCAGAGGTAGTAGGTCTTTGCATCTGGAAACTTAAAAACACTCTACTTTTACTGTTAAGGTATGTGAGTCTACGTATGTATGCAAGAAACCAAGACATGAAAGGCTATTCTGGCCAGGCACCCATGGCTCACACCTGTAATCCTAGCAATTCAAGAGGCAGAGATCAGGAGGATCTCGGTTTCAAAGCCAACCCCAGTCAAATAGTTTGCAAGACCCTATTTCAAAAATATCCAACACAAAACCGGGCTGGCAGAATGGCCCCAGTGGCCTGCGTAGCAAGTATGAGGCCCTGAGTTCAAACCAGTACCAAAAAAAAAAAAAGAGAGAGAGAGAGATGCAATGGTGGTGTTTCTTACCATCTTTGATCTTGCCTATGAGCCTACCACCTGGTTTCTATCAGAAATATTCTAAGGCTAAGTCTTCAGGTGGCTTCCCTCCCTCTGGTCTTCATGGGGTACATTCATAGGGAAATTCATAATGTAAGCAAACATCCAAGGGCATCAAGGAGCCAAAGGAACCACCCAAGATCACACATCCATCTCAAGGAGAAGAGCTTTCTGGTATCCAATCTATGCAATAGGGATAAACCCAGCTGGTCATGATGCCAGTACTTAGCCCACTCCCTACCCCCACCACACACACACACACACACACAGACACACACACACACACACACACACACACACACAGACACACACACACACACACACACACACACACACACTTATACCCATGGTCTTCAGTAAGCCAAAAAGCCCCTTAATCCAACAAAACAGGCAGAAGTTAAATATAGCTTTTTAAGCAAGTTAAATTAAGTATGGATTCCAGTTAAGAAGCAAGGTGATATTAACACCTTCCAGAGCAACAGACCTGTTCTGAGGGTGTTTCTGAGTCAGAACCACTGATTTAACTGACAGGAAGGTCCCTCCACCCTCACTGCTTATTGCCACAGTGGCTTGTCTGGGCTAGAAAAAGGTATGTCTCTGCTTTGTGTATTATCAAAGAGAGTCCCACACTCCAGCAGGACCACCTTAGGGTTTAGCAATAATAACAACAATTAGAATGACAGAATCCTGGTGACCCTGGAGAGTTGGTGGGTCCCTTTTCTCCTGAAGCGCTCACTCTCAGACATGATGTCATGTCCCTTGGGAGTGGGGAAAGGGACTGGCCTGCCATTTTCAGTGAACACAAACTTGAATGGTCACAGTCCTTTCTGATAATTCCATTAATATCAGCCTGGCAACTCTTTCATCACCGGGTAAGACCCAAGAGGGCCACTTTCACAGTTACTTTTTCAGCTTGTAATCACATATCTCCAAAGCTGAAAGGTAAAGACAAGGACACATCTCCTTGACATTGAATTATTAGTAAAAACAAAGGATCAGGTCCCCACATAACAAAAATTAACATTTGCAACCTCACTGGGTGCCAAGTATCACGTAGGTATTTTACTAGACTTCTTTCAGTGAATTTTCACAATGGCCCTATGATTGGGTATTATTATTAGAACTAGAACCTGTCTATGCCCTAATCTCTGTGTCTTGGAGACCAAATGAATAAAACAAGTCAGAGACTTTTTTTTTCCTCAGTGCTGAAGATGGAACCCAGGGCCTTGCACATGCTAGGCAAGTGCTCTTCTACTGAGCCACATCCCCAACTACCAAGACTTTTAAGAGATCTGAGGAAAGTCAGTTTTTCCTCCAAACCTCAGCTTCTAAAAGCCTCAAAGTAATCTATATATGTGGTTCAGTTGATAAAGTGCTTGCCTAACATGTTCTAGCCCTGGATTTTTTCCACAGTACCTCCACCAAAAACAAAAAAAGCCTCAAAAGAAGGGAAGGTTGGGGTTTGGGCTACGAGAAGGGTCTCTGGTGTAGCATTCACCACAATACCAAGGACAAGTTAGGCTTCTTAGAATTTTTTTAGGCAAAGCACAGGAAACAAAAAGTAGTTTTGTGGGTGCTCAGAGTGTAGCATAGTGATAAGCATTAAGCATGTGTTCAACATGCACAAAACCCTGGGTTCTATCAAAAAAAAAAAAGTAGCTTTTGAACGGCTTGTCCTTGGTAAAATAGAACAATTCTATTTTATAAATTTACTTTAGGCCCGGCCCTGGTGGCTCATGCCTGTAATCTTAGCTACTTGGGAGGCTGAGATTGAAAGGATCATAGTTTGTGGCCAGCCCAGGCAAATAGTTCTTGAGATGCACCCCCCCCAACTCCAAAATAACCCAGACAAAATGGACTAGAGGTATGGCACAAGAGGTAGAGCACCTGCTTTGCAAGTGCAAAGCCCTGACTTCAAACCCCAATCCCACTAAAAAAAAAAAAAAAAAAAAATGTAGTTTAATAAGTTCCATGTATATTAGCCTGGACTCAGAGGCTGAGTCCTTCTGACCATTGGTGCTGTATTCTCAGGCAGGTTAACCTACCTCTTTGGGTTTTACTTAAAATCTGCCTCTTTCCAAAAAGGATTGGAGGATTTCCAGCCTCTTGGATGAAACTAGATCTGGTGGTTCCAAATGCCAAGAGAGTTATGGAGATCTAGCTCAGTGGTCTCTGACTGCACTGTAGAAATACTCATCAGAACCCCCCAGGGAAACTCACACAATGTAATTTGCCCTGGTTTCATAGCCACTTGATGGCCAGTAGAAATACCCGTCAGTCCCAGAAATTCTGATTCAATTAGTATGTGGTAGGACCTAGACAAGGGTGGGTCTAACTTGCAGGCTTTGAACCTTGTCTAATCCCTCATCTTCTGACCAGAGAGAGCGAAGGGAAGAACATTGGAGGCAGAAGAATGTCCCTCATGTTGTAGAAGGGAAAGTGGAAAGCCAGAAAATAAAGTAGTTTGTCCTGGTTCACATGGTCAGCTGATGACCAAAGGCCTCAAGCTACCCAGTTAACTGTGCTATCTCTTACACTATTCTGTCTGTCTATAAACTTTCTTCCCACTTCAAGTAAGTTATCATGAAGGTCAATTAAACCATCGGTATGACGCAGCTTCCAGAAAAAAAATGCCCTTATAATTTGAAAGTATGACAATCAGGCTACTCATTTCTCTGGTTTTTGTTTGTTTGTAAGGCAATAAAATAGGTTATTTACATTTTTCTTTTTTTTTTGAGACAAGGTCAATGTAGCCCAGGTTGGCCTGGAACTCATCATCGTCCTGCCTCAGCCTCCTCACTGCTAGGATTACAGCCATGAACCACCACACCAGGAAGTTGTTTACATTTCTCATTATTTCTCATTTTCTCACAAATAAAAGGAGGCTGGTGTGGGCTGCCTCAAAATGTTCCAGATCTGGGTGTTTACATCTTCAGCCCTTCTTTGCCACTTCTGATCACCAACAATTCCTTACCTCATCTTCAAACTCCTCTTCCACAGCAAATAGCTTCCGCAAACTACATGCCTGAAAGGAAAACAAAGCAATTGAAGCTGAGGAGAAACACCATTTGCGAGTACATTCTGTCCTCGCTGCGTCTCTTTCTGGCTCTAACAAGACCATCAGGTGTACTGTTTTTTTTTGTGTTTTGCTAGCGCTGGGGGAGGAACGGGGATGAAGAAAGAAAAAAATGGGATTTAATGAAAGATTTAAAAGACTCAAAATACTTTCTTATAATAGAAGCTACTCAGATTCATCTGCATTAATCCTAGTAGGGGGTATGGGGACGCTGGGAGGCTGCCCAGGGGATCAAGGGCAGGTCTTTAGAATCCACACAGTGCATATGGGCCTGCGAATGTTGCAGTGTCCCCATGGTTTGTCAAACAGAAGGAAACTACCACAAATGCAAGCACGTCTGACACAGAGGCGTGGTTTCTGAGAATCAAGCCAGAGATTTCCTTTTACCTAACCCAATGTGGGAAAAGCTAGGGACCCAAGAGGATGGGATACCCCACTCCAGGTTGCTTCTTTCTAGCCAGCAGAGCTGCTATGGCCACTTCCAGGTAAGGGTTAAACCCAGAGCTAAGGGTTGTTCCTGACCCCAGATGCCAGAGCCGCCAGAGCTACCAAAACAGGGACCTTCCCTAAGAGTCCAAGGGTCAGAGCGGGTGCGTGGGGAGGGGTGGCTCTCAAAGCTAGTGATGTCTGAGCACGCGGGGAAGGATGGACAATTCTCCAAAGGGAGAAGTTAGGCAACAGGAGGGAAACTGAGGACCTGCGTGGGGAGAGAAGGCGCCTCCGTGTCAAGCCCAGGTCTCCAGACTACACGGAACCACCCACAACCCAGGCCCTGCAGCAACTGCGGGTGAGGGGCTGGAACCCGCAGCCAGGTGACCTAGACGAGGGGTGCGGCGTTACCATGGCGACGACGGTGGGCTCCCGCCCGTTAGTTGGCGCGGCCCACTCGTGCTCGGGGGGTCGCCTCGCACTCGGCCCAGGTGGAAGGGTCGGACTCTGGGAGACGGTAATTCGGCAGCAGAGTCAGAGGAAAGCGCCTTTGCAACCCCGGCGGAGGCTGTGAGAGGGTCGCCGGCAGGCTGGGGGGGCCGGAGCCCCAGTCCACATTCGAAGTCGCCGCCACACCAGTCTCCGCCCTCTTAAAGGAAAGGCCCTATTTCTCTTCCGACGATACAAAAGCCTTCACCTTCTAGCCTTCCGCCTCGGCCTTAAAGGGGAAATTGATAGGCTCTCGGTCGCCCCCTAGGGGCCCCTCCGAGCAAGCTACCTACCGTAGTGGGGAAGGTTGGGGAATCTTGTGCCTGTGATGCCCAGTACTGCTTCTCTCTCTCTTGAGTCGAGCACATTAGGGACTGGATATGGGGCGTGATTTCATCCTCACCAGAACCCACCTGGTGTGCTTGTCGCTCTGTTCATCTATCCAAACATCTGTTCTTTTTTGCTTGGGGGTTTTGGTTTTGGTTTTGTGTCGAGACAGAGTATGTAGCACAGACTGGCTTTGAACTCGACATCTTCCTGCCTCAGCCTCCTGAGTTCTGGGATTACAGGCGTGCACTACCACACCTGACTTCCATTCGACTATTCTTGTAACACACTTATCAAGCAAAGATGTTCTTGGTCTGATTCTTTTTATCCATTGTGGTTCAAACTAGATCTCAGCTCTTCTCTTGTCACTTTTTCTCTCCAGTAACAAACATCTTCCCTCACCACAGTTCTCTTTCTCTTCCTAGGCACTTTTTATAATTTACACTTGGTTTACATCATTATTTTGTGTCTTCCTTACTAGAATATACAAGCTCCCTGTAGGCAGGGATCTTGTCTGACTTGTTCAACTTTGTACCTCCAGCACCCAACAAGTTGCTCAATGAGTTATTGAATGAATTAACACAAGGACTTTTGTGTGCAACAGCTCCAACACCAGAGTCAGAGTGTTGATGAATAAGACTTCTTGTGTCCTCAAGGTCATAACACATCAGGGAGACAAAGCCCAGCTCTCTGTAGTTAATGACCCTCAGTCTTACCTCAGTTTCCCTTCTTGCTTGTCTCTATAGCAACAGCTTGATTCACGCAGTTATGAAGACACAACAAGCAGAAGGAAGGTGACTTGAGCTCTTTTTTGTTTGTTTTTGTTTTTCTTTTCTTTTGTTTTTGAGACAGGGTTTCACTATGTAGCCCAAGCTGTAGCTTTGACTGGCCTTGAACTTGAGGTTCTTTTTCCTCAGCCTCCCCCAGGAATTACAGACTCACACCCACCTGTGGCTTGAATTCTTTTTATTTTTCCTTTAGAAGACTCTCTAGTACTGAATTATTTGAGTTCTTTTTTTTTTTTTTCTTTTTTAGTGGTGCTGGGGTTTGAATTCAGGACCTCACATTTGCTCTACCACTTGAGTCACTCCATCACCCCTTTTGTGGGGTATTTCTTGAGATAGGGTCTCAAACTATTTGCCAATGCTGGCCTTGAACCTTGATCTTCCTGATCTCTGCTTCCTGAGTAGCTAGGATTACAGGCGTGAGCCACCAGTGCCTGGCTATGTTTTAAGTTCTTAGTGATCTGATTGGAGCTAGCCCAAATTTCCCCCAGTGTGACCATGGGACAACTGTGGCTCCCATCAGAGCTGCAGGTAGCTCAGTTTACTTGTCATATATCAGGATGAAGGCCAGAATGGCAGTAGATAAAGAACCTAGACTGGCAACTCTCATTTCAGTTAGGGATTTCCTCAAGGCCTCTGTGCTTCTGAGCTGGGGACAAAACCTCATCCTCCATGTATAGGCCTCCCCTCCTCATAGGGGCCCTGGCCCAACTCATCCTGCCTGGCTCCCTGTGGATAACAGCTCTGTCAACTCCAGACAAAGAGAAATCACAAGAAGAATATCAACTGGGCACACTAAAGTTTGTAGCTTCCAGTTTAACCATTAGTTCATTTTCTCTTCATAAAGATCTATCTCATGCTGGGTGCCAGTGGCTCACATCGGTAATCCTAGCTATTCAGGAGGCAGAGATCAGGAGGATCGGGGTTCAAAGCCAGCCTGGGCAAATAGTTTTCGAGACCCTATCTCAAAAAAAAAAAAAAAATCTATCTCATGAAGGGTAAAGAACAGTTATTTACAGGTTAGGAAACTGAGCCCCAAAAGGGGAAGGGACTCCATCAGAGTCACACAGCTACTTACTGGGGGATCTTCTCTGTAGAAAGCCCGCACTTTCTCCTCCATCACCTTTCTAAATGAATTTGGTATATCCCTTTCCTGCCTGCTGCCCACCCTCTATGGCTGGCCAGGCACAATAGTGCACATCTGCAATCCCAGCTACTCAAACAGACCAGAGACAGGAGGATCAAGAGTTCAAGGCCAGGATAGGTAGACTCATGCAGTAAGAGCCTAGCAGGTGTGAGGCCCTGAATTCAAACCCCAATGCAGCCAAAAAAAAAAGTGCAAGGCCAGTGTGGGCCAAGTTAGTGAGACTATCTCAAAAACAAAATACAAAGGGACTGGAGTCATGGCTGAAATGGTAGAGCACTGCCTGGCATACGTGCATGAGGCCCCGGGTTCAATCTCCAGTACTAAAAAAAAACAAAACTGGATGCTGTGGGAGGTGGCTGGAGCAAATGAAAAATGTGGAGCTGGATTGTTTTTTTTTATGGTATTGGGATTTGAACACAGAGCTTTGTGCTTGCTAAGCATGTGCTCTACCACTTGAGCCAAGTTCTTGGCCCTTTTGCTTTGATTATTTTTTGAATAGGGTCTTGCATTTATGCCTAGGCCTGGACCTCCACAGGCGTGCCACCGTGCCCAGCTTTTTTATTGGTCAAAATGAGGTGTCATGAACTTTTTCCCCCAGACTGGCCTCAAACCTCAATCTTTCAGACCTCATTCTCCTGAGTATTGCAGGCATGAGCGACTGCATCTTTTGTTGGTTTGTTTGTTTTTGAGACATGGCTAAAGTGATCCGCCTACCTCAGCCTCCCAAATGCTGGGACTATAGGTGTGCTTCCTCAAAGCTTAGCTTTGCTTTGCTTTTCTTTCTTTCTTTTTTTTGTTTCAGGGCTGGAACTGCACAGTGCATCCCAGGGCCTCATCTAGGCTAAGCAAGTGCTCTAACACTGAGCTCTAAACCCCCAACCCTAGTTGGAACATTTTAGAGGGAGACTGGCAGGATGCACAGAGGAGTTGTCTGTGAGTGTGGAGTTGGGAAGGTTCCACTTGCTGAAGACCCCTCCAAACACGATGTCTCCATTTTCCTATCACTGTCATCTCAAAATAAGGGAAACAATTGACTTTCCATGGTGATTGGACCTAGGATCCTGCTCTTCTTTCTCTTAGAAAAGGGGTTAATCAGGCTTGAGCCAGGCACCAATAGCCACGCCTGGAGTACTAGCTACACAGGAGGCAGATATCAGACGGATCCAGGTTCAAGGCCAGCCCTAGTGAATAGTTTGAGAGACCCTACCTATCTCGAAGATGCCCAACACAAAATGGCTGGTGGAATGACTCAAGTGGTAGTGCATCTGCCTAGCAAGCATAAAGCGTGTGTTCAAACACCAGTACCATTAAAAAAAAAAAAAAA